GTGATGCGCAGCTGAATTTTCAGCATCATTCCTCCAGTCTTCAGTGTCACATGATCATCAGAAATCATGTATCATGAAAACTGTGATTACCATTTAAAAGTTTGGGGTAAGCAAAAAGAAAAACCTCTGAAATTAATACTTTTATGTGTGTGTGTGTGAGTGTGTGTGTGTGTGTGTGTGTGTGTGCTTGACTCCCCACAAGGATAGTAAAACCTGAAATTTTTGACATTCGAGAGAAACAAATGATTAAAAAGAGTAAATGATGATCTGAAAGTGTAAGAATTCAAACAGGTTTTCTTACAAAAGTTTTATATTTCAAATAAATGCCGTTCTATTGAACTTTCTATTCATCTGTGAATCCTGAAAAATAAAATGTATCAGTTTCCACACAAATATGAAGCAGTGCAACTGTTTTCAACATTGATAATACAATGTTGAATGTGTTTGCAATTCTCTCTGTTGTTGCAGAAAGCGAGACTTATATATACACATACATAAATGAAGTGATTCCTGACATGTATCAGAGAGTCTTAAGTGTCCAGCTCACTGTAAATCAGGCTAAAAGCCGCTGTCAGGATCAGTTGATCAGCTGTAGAGTGTGATATACAGTATATATATATATATCAGTAAGATCAGCGTGTCTCTTCTTCAGCTGGTTCACTTGTGTTTGTGTATGTGTGTGTGTGACCAAATGTCTCCACAAGGATAGTAAAACCTGAATTTTTTACATTGTGGGGACTGGCCTGTGGTCCCCACGAGGGAAAAAATAATTAAAAATAGTAAATTATGTTTATCTGAAAATGTAAGAATTTAAACCGGTTTTCTGTAAGGGGTAGGTTTAAGGTTGGGGATAGAAAATATAATTTGGTCAGTATAAAAGTAATAGAAGTCAATGGAAAGTCCCCACAATTCACAGAAACAAACGTGTGTGTGTGTGTGTTGCAGGTGTGTGAGTTTGCGCTGCGTCTGTCCAGTGGAGACGCCGAGCCGCTGCCAATCTCTGTGAGAAAGCAGCTCTGCAGCACGTGGGTCTGCGTTAAACAGCTGCTTCAGCAGCAGATCGGACACAAACTGGACATCAACGATGAGGTGACGCCAACAACAGAACAAACACACTGCGTTTGGATCATCAGATGGACGATTTGAACTAGAATAAGATCAGTGTTGGGAAGGTTACTCTGGAAATGTAATAGGTTACAAATTACAAGTTACTCTATTTAAGTAGTGTTTCAGTTACTTTATTAATGTAACTGATGACATTTGATTACTTTTCTAAGTTTCTACTGAATGTTTTCAACTGTTAATCATTTTGAAGCATGTAAAGCAAGCAGGGTTAATATTACAGTCGCTACAGTATATATATATATATCAGTAAGATCAGCGTGTCTCTTCTTCAGCTGGTTCAGATGGCGTTGGGCTGTCAGTGGTCTGATCCGGTCGTGGAGCTGTATGTGTGGACACAGCTCGCTCTGTTCGCCCATCAGACACAAGACCACAGCCTTGTCCTCACCTGCACCCATAATGCACTGCAGCTGGAGCAGAACGCAGCACAAAGAGTGAAGACGGCCGCTTATGCTCTGTGAGTGTCACTGATATATGTGACCCTGGAGTACAAAACCAGTCATAAGGGTCAATTTTTTGAAATTGAGATTTATACATTATACATTTATACATAAATAAGCTTTCCATTGATTTCAGTTACTTTATTAATGTAACTGATGACATTTGATTACTTTTCTAAGTTTCTACTGAATGTTTTCAACTGTTAATCATTTTGAAGCATGTAAAGCAAGCAGGGTTAATATTACAGTCGCACTCAACACTGATTACTGTCAGACTTTCAAAATCCTTCATCGCTTGAATTAAGATTATACACCACAAAATCAGACTTTTAACACCTCCTTTTTACTTTAACATTGTTCCGAGGTTAAATACAGATTTAAAATCATAACAAGAAACCGTTTAATAGCTCTGATATTGTTTTTGAAATCAAATCTTTGCATAGCTATGAGAGGAAACACTTGCATCTAACAATGCTTTGGAAAAAACAGTTAATCTTAAAAAATAAAGCATATACATAAACCCAAAAAAGACACATGTCCTATTCTGTGTCCTAAACTCCTGAAACACTGGTGTCTCATATTTTAGAGCAGTCAATGCAGTTTATGAAAGAAATCAATCAAATCTGTATGTGCGTGAAAATATTCAGATGTAACCCCCTTTGTAATCGTTAACAGGACATTTACAAATATCTTCATGGAACATGATCTTTACTTAATATCCTAATGATTTTTGGCATAAAAGAAAAATTGATAATTTTGTTGGCTATTGCTACAAATATACCCCAGCGACTTAAGCCTGCTTTTGTGCTGCAGGGTCACAGCACTGCCTACAATTAGACTAATAAACTAGATTCCTTGTCATATTTGCTGTATGAAATACAATAGTTGTTTCTAACTAACTTTGAGGTGCTGATTCCAAAAATAGTAGTCGTGTTGCTCATTCATGTCAAACTTTTGCATTCAAATATGATGCATTTCATAGCATTTTTGCTTTTGACAACCATTTGCGTGGTGAATTAGTCTTGTATTCTCCCAGGTTCAGCGTGCGTTCGGTGCAGGAGATGTTGAGCAGCGCTGCGTGTGTCAGAGGTCAGAGTCTGATCCAGGAGGCCAGAGCTCATCACAGCAGATATATGGACGGTCTGCTCAAGCTGCAGCACAGCGTCAGGTCTGAACACCACTGCACGAGTCAAACAGATTATTCTACATATTTCAGAGTTTATCAGCTTCATGTTGAAGTCATACCGTTTGTGTGTGCTGTATAACAGGTCTGAACAGGGTTTGGGGTTGTTTTACACACAATTTGAAATGTTTGTGGGTAAAAGCACACCCTGATATGAATAAAAAACAATACACAACTAAACAATTAAACCATTACATTTGCATACTTTGTGCTCAAACATAAAATAACATTCATTTAAAGCAGTCAATGCAATTTGGGAAAGAAATGAATTTGTGTGAAAATATTCAGATGTAACCCCCTTTATAATTTGTAACATGAAAATAACTGTAATTTAATTCCACATTTTTTTCTCAGTAACTGTAACAGATTACAGTTACATTTATTTTGTATTTACATAATTCCATTACATGTAACTAGTTACTCCCCAACACTAAATAAGATGCAAAATTGACCCGATTTTAATCAAAAGTCTGGCTGTGGAGGCTTAACCCTGTAAAGCCTGACAAATGAAATAATAGTCAGAAAATCTATTCCTTTTTACTGAACAAAAAAATCTAAAAGAAAAATGTTTGCACATTTTGTTGAGTATCATATTTGATGCATCAGGCTTTTATGGCTCATAAACGTATTTTTAGAGAGAGTATTGAAAGCTTTGAAAATAACTATAAATCAATCAGATGTTTTATTATTTTTTTTTTTTATTCCATACGGATGCAGTGGTAACCTTAACATTTTGTTTGTAGATTTAGCATTTGTAGATGGTCAAAAGGCAAAAAAAAAAAGGCAAAAAAAAAAAAAAAAAAAAAAAAAGTTGTAATTACTGTGTACAGTGTATTCACAATTTGTGAAATTGGAAAAAAAAATGTTTTTTTTGTGTGTGTGTAATGTGTATTTGTTGTTTTGATCTGTTTGCTATTGGTTACTATTGACTATTTTTAGCAAATAGTATTTTTAATATATTTAGTATATTTTAAACTATTTACTGTTTTTATTGATTGATTGATTGAGTTAGGGTTGTCTTCCAAAAATCCTAACAATTATTAATTATAATAATACTATATGGAGCCCATAACAATAAAAAAAAACATACAAAAATATATTGTCCCCATTTTTGAATTCATGGATAATAAGCGAGATTTCAGTGATAATTTGAATAATAACTTTTGCAGAAAGCATATGCTTTGTACTCAAAATGTGCCTAAAATGCAAAATAATTAGGGATAGTAAAGATCCATTTCCAAAAGCACAAACATTAAATAACATTTGAAAAATTAAAAAAACAAACAAACTTGTAATTACTGTATATAGTGTATTCACAGTTTGTGAAAAAAATTAAATATTGAATATAATTGGAAAGTGGTTAAAATATATATATATATATATATATATATATATATATTTTTTTTTTTTAAATACAGTTTTTGTTTATCATATGTTCTCTTTTTGTTTTTGTGAAGTCATAATTTTTTAAAAATATAATACTGTTTTGATCTGTTTGCGATTGGTTACTTTCTACTATTTTATATTAAAACCAGATAGGGTTCTTCTACAAAAAAATAAAATAAAATAATAATAATAATATATGGAACCTGCAACAATTTTAAAAAATTTAATTCGTAAATAACAAGAAGTGAGATTTCAATGATATTTTGACTACTAAACTCACTAAACTACAAAAAGTCCCAAGTTTCTGTTTCAGAAATCTGCTCAGTTTTATGCTGAATGTGCTTCTGAGCTGTCCTGGTCTGATCTGTGGCTGATGTTGTGTGTGTTGTAGTTTTGCGGAGCAGGCGGGCAGCTGGAGTCTGTGTATGAACGCAGCCGCTCACTTCTGGAGCGCATGTCTGCCTCTGCTGGACTCGAGACGGGACAGACGTCAGCTGAGAGGAGCGCTGGAGCTCATCCTGAAGACCATCAGCCAAACATACAGCAAACACACAGCCGTAACACACCACCAGCACACACACACCATCACCTCACCTTAATACTATTACAAACGGATGAATGTGATGCTGTCAGAAACCTGTTTCATATGTCCACTATATAAATATGCTTTATATTCATGTGTTCAGGGCAAAAATAAAAGAGCATCTGGACTCAAGCGTGATGGACCAGATACCACAAGTGAGAATTATTTGGCTTTTACTCAATGAAGCATTTCTGTGATGTATGTGCTTATATCATATTACTGAAGCCAGAAATAGGATTTTAATAATACACTTTTATAAAGTGGTTTATGATCATATAATATACTAACAATGCATGCATAAGCTATAGTATATTTAACCATAACATTTTACACTGCAAAAAATTATTTTCTAATTTTGTATTTTTGTCTTGTTTCCAGTACAACTATCTAAACATCCTTAAATCAAGATACATTTAATTGGGAAGCGAAATTACCAAAAATATTGAGTCTTGTTTTTCTTTGTTTTTTTTAAACCGATTAAAATGAAATGAAAAGAAAAAAAAAGCATGTCAGTGGAAAAAGAGGATTATTTTTCTGATCCCATTGGCAGATATTTTGTCTTGTTTTAAGCATAAACTCACTTGATTTTGATACATTTCCCAAGAAAGCAAGACTTAATGTCTTATGTCACATTTTGCTTTCTTGATTTAAGGATATTTCGATATTTTTACTGGGGAAGAGACTATAATGCTGAGGATGAAAATCATTTCTTGCGGTGTAGTAATGAGTTCCAGAAGCTTTAAAGGGATAGTTCACCCAAAATGAAAATCCTCTCGTCATTTACTCACCCTCATGTTGTTCCAAACCAATAAGCCTTTGGTTAATCTTCAAAACACAAATTTAGATACTTTTAATGAAATCTGAGAGGTTTCTGTCCCTCCATTGAAAGTCCAGATATCCGTTCACAAGACTTGAATTAAACCGCTCAATTCATATACGTTCATTTTTACGACACCTTTATGAACTTATTGGGTCTTTAAAGTTTTGGTTACCCAGACTTTCAGTGGAGAGACAGAAACCTGTCAGATTTCAGTAATTTGTTTTAAAAATAAACCAAAGTCTTATGGGTTGAAATGACATGAGGGTGAGTAAATTATGACAGAATGACTTAAAAGTTAAAAGATGAGTTAAAAGATTTTTTTTTTTAATCATTGGTTACACCTTAAGAGTATATATATACAGTGGGTACGGAAAGTATTCAGACCCCCTTAAATTTTTCACTCTTTTTTATATTGCAGCCATTTGCTAAAATCATTTAAGTTAATTTTTTTGTGTGTGTGTGTGTGTGTGTGTGTGTGTGTGTGTGTCTGTGTCTGTGTCTGTGTGTGTATAATATATTTACCAATATATTTTTTATATATTTTGAAGATATATTTGAAAAATATAAATATATATTTTTATAACGCATTTAAAATATATTTTGACATTCATATATTTCAATCCAAATTAAATAAATAAATAAATAAGCTAGAAACATACTTTATACTGTAAAAAAAATAAGCTATATATAATTTTTTTTAAAGCATTATAAATCTGTTTTTGATTTCTGGTAAGCTATTCCATCCACATTTGCATTCAGTCTAAATGTAGGCTGCTGTAAGATTGGAAATGCATATTCTTCCCATTAAATACTTTTTGAAGTATATTTTGTTGTGTGAAATAAAAACTAAATATACTTTAATTTCAAAAATATATTTCATTGAGCTTCACTGTTTACAACATATATTTCAAATATATTTTAGCCATTATTTGCCAGAAGAATCTGCTTTCCTGAAAAGAAATGATGTGTAAATAATCCTGCAGGGATTGAGTTGCTGATTGTTTTGCTCACATAAGGTTTTATGGCATTAGATTGTATGAATATATCTGGCTGTGAGGGTTGGTTCTGGCATGTTTTCTAGACGCTGGCATCGCTGATGATGACCTGAAGGTGTGGACGGCTGTGATCAGCGCACTGCTCCATATTCATGCGGACGCTGGAGACTGGAGGAGAGGCCTGCAGCTGCTGGACGAGGCCCTCAGAGAGATGCCACACACCGAACACAGATTGTGAGGCCTTCCCTGCAACACACACCGCTCTAAAAACTGACCTTTTTCATCTGCAGTGCTTCATGGGTCACTGAATGCTAGAAAAACTAGAGCCGGAGGTGATAGAAACCACGCAGAACAGAGCCGTGCTGAAATCTGCTCTTGATTTAGTCTAGATCTAGTGTGTGTGTGTGTCTAAACTATCATAGATAAACCATATGATGGCTTATCAGTTCCCAAATAACGGGTTTATCAGTGAATGCAATTACAGCACAAATGCAATGAGTAACACAGCAAGTGATTCATCATAAGAAGACATGTTTACATGAGAAGTGCTAGCTATATAAAGTTTCTTGAATAGGGAAATATTGTTTAAAAGGAAACTGTGGCATTCACATGTAAGGGAACTTATTTAATGTACTGTTTTGCAAATGCATGGTTTTATATAGTCTAGATCAAAGATGAACCCACATAGTGGGAAAAACAGAGTTGCATGAATGAATGAAAGAGCCTTTCCAGGTTAATTTGCTCACTAATCAATCATTTGGTTACAAATAATTCTTTAGTTGGTGTTTTAGTGACACCTGCTGGTTGTTCTTGTGCACTGCGTGTTTTCATTTTGTAATCAGTAAGAAGTGTTACACAAAGAAATGTGTGGGTCGCATTTCACCCCAAAAACCACAGAAAAGAAAAACAAAAATAAGTTATATTTCTTATAATTATTGATTAGTAATTAGCATTTTGACATTATTTTCATGACAAATAAGCACATTTTCCCCAAAACTACTGAAATAATGGTCATTTCTGAACTCAATCATTATTATATTCTAATATTAATAATATAATTCTTGATTTTGAAATTGAAGTGCTTTTGGGTGAAATGTGCTTGATGTAAATAGTGTAAATGTAATAAATGATAAAAATTGGCATAAATTTAATTCGGCACAAAAATAGTATTGTAATCTATAAAAGTCATTGCATTTTATATTCCTGTACACTAATGAGAATTTGGAGCAAAACATGCTTAATTTTCCTGAAATGAAATTATGGGCTAATTATTAGTATTTTTCAAGATTATTTGAAACATGTTTTTTTTTTTTGCATGCATGCTAGTGTAATTCTCAGTTGCATTAAATGAGTTATGAGACACTGAAAGTTCATGCAGTCCTAAAGCCCATCTGATCCTACGGTGTGTTCTCTGTGTGTGCTCCAGGGCTCTGCTGAAGCAGCGTGTTCTGGTCAAGGCCCGGCTGGGCGAGTCGCTTCTGCTGGACATGCAGCGGTTCACTAACGAGGGAGAGACGGTCTGCGCTCAGATGTGGCGGCGTGCAGCTCTCTGTGCCAAAGACAAACCACAGCGGCTCAGCTGCTATCAGAATGCCATCACAGCTCTGCAGGTCAAAGCAGCACTGAACTCTTGAACTCTTTAAAGCTTGAGCTCATCTAGATGTCATGTCAACATTTAATGCACATTATGTGTTGAAATGCATGTCTGTGACTGTATGTGGTTTTGTGGCGACACCTGCTGGTCTTACACATGTACTGCAGGTTTCCATAGGTGGTTGGTAAAGGAAAAAATCAATATATTAGTGATGTATTATTTGCATTTTGACATTTTTGTCAAAAAATAAAAAATAAAATTGACAGAAAGCTTGAGCTCATCTAGATGTCATGTCAACATTTAATGCACATTATGTGTTGAAATGCATGTCTGTGACTGTATGTGGTTTTGTGGCGACACCTGCTGGTCTTACACATGTACTGCAGGTTTCCATAGGTGGTTGGTAAAGGAAAAAATGAATATATTAGTGATGTATTATTTGCATTTTGACATTTTTGTCAAAAAATAAAAAAGAAAATTGACAGTTAAGCACATCTCCCCCAAAACTACTTCGATATAAAATCAAGAATTGTAATTTCTGGATGCAAAGATTATGTATAATAAAAAATAAAAAAAGTTGCAAATTTAATTCAGTGAAAACTAAAAACACTACTGTAATCTATACTTAAAATGATACTTCACAAATGTCTTTTATAGTTTTAATAATATATATTTTGAGAATTTGGGGCAAAATAATTATTAGCATTTTTCAAGAATGTACAGTCAAACCAAAAATTATATAGTTTTTGATATTTTTTTACTAGTGGGTGCAGGACACTATGGTTCATAAATGTAAGTGAGGATAGCAGAATAAAGTAAACTGTGACATATTACACCCAAAAATTCTTCATACAGTGGACTACCAGTAAAATTTATTAAAAAATAAATATAAAATTGGGACCAAAAATTTGACCTTTCTATCAAAGTTATCTGACATTATAAAGATGAATTTGTTCTGACACAGTTCTTGTCATATTTTATTAACATTTTCTAAACTATAGCGAATAAACTGTGATATAATATGTGAGAAATGTTGAAGGTATCTGAATAATTTTTGGTTTGACTGTAAGTCTTTAGATCAAATGTTTTTAAGGTTATGAGAAACCTGTTCGTTTTTTTTTATCATTCATATATTATTTTAATTTTGACCATATTTTCATGAAAATTCAGCAAATTTCCCTTTAAAAGACTGATTTTTGGTTTGACTGTAAGTCTTTAGATCAAATGTTTTTAAGGTTATGAGAAACCTGTTCGTTTTTTTTTATCATTCATGTATTATTTTAATTTTGACCATATTTTCATGAAAATTCAGCAAATTTCCCTTTAAAAGACTATCTGATAATGATAGTTTTGAGTACTGAGTACTGAGAATTTATGGGATTTTTTTTAAATGCATGTTTAATTATTATTATTTTTTAATTCACCATGCAAAAAATCTTACTAGGAAAAAAAAGCTGATTTTTTGTTTCTTTTGATTTCTGTATGAACCATGAGCCAGAGGTCCCTGACAGCTGTTGTTGGTCAGTGTTAGTTGACTCGGCTCTTCTGTGTGTTTGCTCAGTCTCCGGGGGGTCAGTGGCAGAAGGTGGAGGTTCTGCTGGAGTTTGGCGAGTGGCTGTGTGTCACACACTTTCCTGTGACTGACGTCCGTCTGCAGATCGAGTGGGCCGTAGACATGCTGCTGTTCACAGACACACAGAACACAGACGGTGACTGCATTACCTTTACATACACCGGCAGATGAGAGCTTGAAATAATGAAAACTTTCCTGTCCAGGGACAGCTCTGTAGCTACTTGTCTCTGTCAAATAACAAATTAAATAAATAATGTTCTTACTCCGTACATGTATAATATGTGCATCCTTGAAAATGGGCAGTTTTCTAGTGCATTTCTTTAATCTCTCAGCTAATATCAATGGTGTGACCTATTTCAACAACAGTGGTTACATGCACATATTTTTAATTGTTTGATCAAAATTATTCTTAGTTGCAATTTAGTAGTCACTGGATATTGGTAGGGACATGTCATAGCATCTCTAATAAATTCTACACCCTTGCACTGAAGGCTGGAGTAATAATGCTGAAAATTCAGGTTTGATCACGGCAATAAATTAAATTTGAACACATATTCACATAGAAAACAGGCATTTTAAATAGTAATAATATTTCACAATTTTTATTGTATTTTTGATTTAATATATGCAGCCTTGGTGAGCAGAAGAGAGCTTCAAAACAAAACAAAATCTGAATTATCCCAAAGTTTTGACTCCTGTTGATTTGCCCTGTCCCGTCAGAGGGGTCTGGCCCGTGTCTGTGTGACGTGCGTTCGGTGGGCCGTCTGGAGCGTCTGATGCGATCGCACACACTGCTGGCTCTCACAGAGGAGCGCTCGTCTCTCAAACAGCAGCAGCATCTGCTGACAGCCTACAGCTGCTCGCTGCACATCTGGAAGGTACTCTCACTTACACAGCTCACAGATCACGCTTGTTTTGAGTCGTCACTGCATTACTTTTTCATTTAGGGGGAAATATCTGAGTTACTTTTTCAAATAAGTAGCTCCAGTTACTTTGTTTCCATGTGTTGAGTGACAGCTCTGGTGTTGCCATGGTGACAGAAATCAGGAGTAAGTGCAGAGTGTTGTGTGTGAACATGATCTTACTGTAGTTCTAGACTAAATATCAACATGTGTTTACTCATCTCACTGCACACAAACACATTCAGTGTTCCTCGAAATTAATAAAAACATTAAATGCAAACTCAGAATATGACGCAATATCTGCAATAATTAAATATGTTAAATAAGACAAATATCATTTGCAAATTTCCCTTTAAAAGACTATCTGATAATGATAGTTTTGAGTACTGAGTACTGAGAATTTATGGGATTTTTTTTAAATGCATGTTTAATTATTATTATTTTTTAATTCACCATGCAAAAAATCTTACTAGGAAAAAAAAGCTGATTTTTTTTTTCTTTTGATTTCTGTATGAACCATGAGCCAGAGGTCCCTGACAGCTGTTGTTGGTCAGTGTTAGTTGACTCGGCTCTTCTGTGTGTTTGCTCAGTCTCCGGGGGGTCAGTGGCAGAAGGTGGAGGTTCTGCTGGAGTTTGGCGAGTGGCTGTGTGTCACACACTTTCCTGTGACTGACGTCCGTCTGCAGATCGAGTGGGCCGTAGACATGCTGCTGTTCACAGACACACAGAACACAGACGGTGACTGCATTACCTTTACATACACCGGCAGATGAGAGCTTGAAATAATGAAAACTTTCCTGTCCAGGGACAGCTCTGTAGCTACTTGTCTCTGTCAAATAACAAATTAAATAAATAATGTTCTTACTCCGTACATGTATAATATGTGCATCCTTGAAAATGGGCAGTTTTCTAGTGCATTTCTTTAATCTCTCAGCTAATATCAATGGTGTGACCTATTTCAACAACAGTGGTTACATGCACATATTTTTAATTGTTTGATCAAAATTATTCTTAGTTGCAATTTAGTAGTCACTGGATATTGGTAGGGACATGTCATAGCATCTCTAATAAATTCTACACCCTTGCACTGAAGGCTGGAGTAATAATGCTGAAAATTCAGGTTTGATCACGGCAATAAATTAAATTTGAACACATATTCACATAGAAAACAGGCATTTTAAATAGTAATAATATTTCACAATTTTTATTGTATTTTTGATTTAATATATGCAGCCTTGGTGAGCAGAAGAGAGCTTCAAAACAAAACAAAATCTGAATTATCCCAAAGTTTTGACTCCTGTTGATTTGCCCTGTCCCGTCAGAGGGGTCTGGCCCGTGTCTGTGTGACGTGCGTTCGGTGGGCCGTCTGGAGCGTCTGATGCGATCGCACACACTGCTGGCTCTCACAGAGGAGCGCTCGTCTCTCAAACAGCAGCAGCATCTGCTGACAGCCTACAGCTGCTCGCTGCACATCTGGAAGGTACTCTCACTTACACAGCTCACAGATCACGCTTGTTTTGAGTCGTCACTGCATTACTTTTTCATTTAGGGGGAAATATCTGAGTTACTTTTTCAAATAAGTAGCTCCAGTTACTTTGTTTCCATGTGTTGAGTGACAGCTCTGGTGTTGCCATGGTGACAGAAATCAGGAGTAAGTGCAGAGTGTTGTGTGTGAACATGATCTTACTGTAGTTCTAGACTAAATATCAACATGTGTTTACTCATCTCACTGCACACAAACACATTCAGTGTTCCTCGAAATTAATAAAAACATTAAATGCAAACTCAGAATATGACGCAATATCTGCAATAATTAAATATGTTAAATAAGACAAATATCATTTATGTGTTTAATCCCATTTTATTAACCCATGTCTTTGCTACTGACCTTCGATGATCCAATTCAACCATACTAAGCAAAAATAACACATTTGTGTTCAGTGTTGGGGAAAGTTACTTTTAAAAGTGATGCATTACAATATTGCATTACTCCCTAAAAAAGTTACTAATTACGATACTTAGTTACTTTTTATGGAAAGTAATGCGTTACGTTACTTTTGAGTTACTTTTTAAATCTGGGCGGGGCTTGCTTGTTTGTTTTTAATATAAAAAGTTCTATTTTTAGCAAATGTAAAGCCCTTTCACACCAAAAAGTGAAAGGAATACGCCTCAGGCTGAAGGAAATGTAAATTCACGTCTGTACAGTAGAACACAGGAGAAGACGGTTCAACACTCTTTAGCAATAAAAAACAATGAAGCACAAATTTGAGTTCATCTAAAGTCATTTTTGCTTATTAGTATGGTTGACCTGGATCATCAAAGGTCAGCAGCAAAGACAATGGTTTATAAAATGGGATTAAATAGTACACAAGGGGTATTTGTGTTAACATATTTAATTATTGCAGATTTGCGTCATATTCTGAGTTTGCATTTCACTGTTTTTATTGATTTTGAGGAACACTGAATGTGTTTGTGTGCAGTGAGATGAGTAAACACATGTTGATATTTAGTCTAGAACTACAGTAAGATCATGTTCACACACAACGCTCTGCACTCACTCCTGATTTCTGTCACCATGGCAACACCAGAGCTGTCACTCAACACATGGAAACAAAGTAACAAGTTACTTATTTGAACAAGTAACTCAGATATTTTCTTGTAAACTAAAAAAGTAATGCGTTACTTTACTAGTGACTCGAAAAAAGTAATCTGACTCTGTAACTCACGTTACTTGTAATGCGTTACCCCCAACACTGTTTGTGTTTCGTTTTATTGCTGAATAGTGTTGAACTTTCTTCTGCTGCGTCCTATTCTTCATCTGATTAGTTTGAGCGGCGCCCTCTACTGTACAGACGTGAATTTACATTTCCTTCAGCCTGAGGCACATTCTTTTCACTTTTGGTGTGAAAGGGCTTTTACATTTGTAAAAGAAGAACTTTTTTATATTAAAAACAAACAAGCAAGCCCCGCCCAGATTTAAAAAGTGACACAAAAGTAATGTAACGCATTACTTTCCATAAAAAGTAACTAAGTATCGTAATTAGTTACTTTTTTAGGGAGTAACGCAATACTGTAATGCATCACTTTTAAAAGTAACTTTCCTCAACTCTGGTCACATGTGTGTCGCTGTGGAATTCAGGTATCCATGGCAACCGCACAGGAACTGATGAATGATTTGGCGGAAGGTCAAGGCGTGCGATCCGAAGTAACACAAAAGTAATGTAACGCATTACTTTCCATAAAAAGTAACTAAGTATCGTAATTAGTTACTTTTTTAGGGATTAACGCAATACTGTAATGCATCACTTTTAAAAGTAACTTTCCTCAACACTGGTCACATGTGTGTCGCTGTGGAATTCAGGTATCCATGGCAACCGCACAGGAAGTGATGAATGATTTGGCGGAAGGTCAAGACGTGCGATCCGCCAGCTCCAGAAAAGACAAGGAGAGACCAGACGAGAAGAAGACCAAACAGGTGAGACTAGTGAGCTAGTAATAACAGAGCTTCACTGATCACCAATCATCTGTAGGATGGCTGCAAAACCTTCATTACATATTAATTACATATCTGTTTTTGCACTTTGTATGTAGGTGTGACTGGGGCTAGTTGTCACATTTTAAATATTTATTTTTATTTTTTTTTTACTTTTGTACTTTTTGAACGTCAGTGTCTATATAAACAAACTTTAAAATTTTGACTAGAAAAAGTCAGTTTACGTTAACATGTTGAAATTTTATAACATGTTAATTTAGTTTGTGGCCTATAGTGGGGCATGTTGTCACAATAGAAAGAGTACATTTTCACAATAAGTATTTATTCACTTTGCAGCGCAGTCAGTCAAATAATTATTAGTAAATAATACAGTCAGTAAATAATAATTATTTAAATAACGGTAAAATAATTATTAGACAGAAAACATGAAAAGGTTACACAGATTTCTGTCTACTGTGGACAACAGAAAGTGTAATTAATTCATTATTTTTAAAGTTTCTTCTGCTCACCAATGCTGCATTTATTTGATCAAAAATATAGTAAAAACTGTAATATTATGAAACTGTTTTCTATTTGAATATATTTTAAAATGTAATTAGTATAGAAATGAATATGCTGATTTGCTGCTCAAGAAACATTTCTGATTATTATCAATGTTGAAAACATTAATATTTTTGTGGAAACTGTGATACATTTTATTTTTCATGATTCACAGATGAATAGAAAGTTCAAAAGAACAGCATTTATTTGAAATAGAAATCTTTTGTAGCATTATAAATGTCTTTACTGTCACTTTTGATCAATTTAACACATCCTTGATGAATAAAAATATTAATTGCTTTTTAAACATTTTTTTTATTTTTTTAAGTCTTACCCCAAAATATTGAATGGTAATTTATCATATTTTCATCAAACATATTAAGCAGCAGAATTTATCTAAATATCATTGCATTAGATACAAAATATCAAACCAAGTTTTATTATTATTATATTTTACAATATTATTATAGTTTCATATTTTGAATCCTACATTATAAATGTCTTTACTGTGACTTTTGACCAATGTAATGTTTTCTTGATGAATAAAACTATTAATTTCTTAAAGAAATCTTTGAACTTTAGTGTACATGTATATACAGTTATGTATATGTAGTGTATATATCTTTTATTTCTGCAGCCGTCTCCTGTGGAGGACAGACCCAGAGCTAAAGCTGCAGACGTGTCTCTTCCCATCAGCCCCAAGCAGTGGGCTCAGTTCCAGTGTCCTGAGGAGCTTCGACAGGCCTTTCTTTCTGACGCCGGTCCTTACAGCATCAACAGCACATCCATCAGCGCACAGGTCAGCAGATCTCTCTCTGTGTGTTTACACATCACTCGTCTCACAGATAATCAAAGCTTCTGATCGATTGCACGCTGATTTCTGAGCTGCATGAGGGAGAAGAGGAAATATTCATCTTTAGAGTGAAACAATATTATCTGTGACTCAAAGCATCTTCCTCGTCGAATTAAGGAGAATCATCTCACTGAACAAAAACATCACATGAGTAAAAGAGAAAACTGTCTTGGGTTGTCCAGGTTAAATGTCAGCTGATATAAACCTCCATTGGGTCATCTTTATCGTCCAGACTTGCTATTTGAGAACATCAGGAAGTGTTTTTTTTTTTGCATTGTGACAATATTTTCACATTTAAATACATCTATTCTTTTGTAAGTTTTGGCGTTTGTATACTTTTTTAATGTGTTTGAAAAAAAAAAAAAAACATACAAAAACTGTAAAGCAAAGCTGTTTTAATTAAAATGTAATTAAAAAGCTTATATATATATATATATATATATATATATATATGTGTATTTAAATTATATATATATACTGTAAGTTATACTATATTTTAAAATAATTTTAATTATACTATTCTTTTCTCTTTTTTTTGCTCTTCTGCTCACTAAGGCTGCATTTATTTGTTTACAAAAAATAGAATAATATTGTTAAATATTATTAGAATGTAAAACCGTGATATATTTTATTTTTCAGGATTCACAGATTAATAGAAAGTTCAAAAGAACAGTGTTTATTTGAAATAGAAATATTTTGTAACATTATACATGTCTTTACCGTCACTTTTGATGAATTTAGTGCATCCTTGCTGAACAAAAGTAATTATTGTTTGATTTGTGAAGTTAAATTGCATGTGTTTAATGGGTTGTTTCAGAGCCGAACTCTGTTTTATTTGGATCTGTTGGTGAAAGAGCTGGAGTCGCTCTCCTTGACCCCGTTGACCTTTGCCCCTCTCCACCTGGCAGAGGTCATCGCTCGCGACCTCATGCAGAGCAGGAGTCAGTCTGACCTCTACCGCCTCAGGTAACCCTCACACACAGCTGGACATCGCACATCACATCAGATATCACAGTGAGATGTGACTGATTTCATCATCTCTCAGGATCATCAGGAGCTGTGGTGATCTGGGGTTCGAGTCTCCGTTCTCTGAGCATCTGCTGAGCTTCACACACGTTCCTGCAGACGAGCAGATGCGGTACGATTCTCTAAATCTTTGTTTCCCAAACTTTTTTTCTGCCGCGGCACGGTTTTGATGTGTGAAAAATCCCACGGCACACCACTAAGCATTAAAAAAAGTTTTGTTTTTTTCAATAATTAAACATTGCGTCATCAGAGTTGGTATTTTGGCTTTACATATGATCAGACACTTGCACTTCATTTCTGAAAATCATACTCAAATGGAGTTAACGAGGTGTTTGATGACTGAATGACGGAGATCTGTGTTTTTGTCCACTGCATCTGAGGCAGTTAATTAATCGCATTATGTTTTCATCAGTTCACAGGTTATAAAGTTTATTGTAGCTATATGGGCGCTCAGTTTCTCTTGTTGTTTACATTTGGCCAAAATCTCACGATATAAAAGACGAACCGCTATGCACAGGGTATTTAAAACGTACAAAAGTGTATTGGCTACAACTAGACGGCAATGCTAAGACTCTTCTCTGCTCTTTAAACACACAAAAACATTCGCCTTTATAGACGGTGTTTAAAGTGAGTAAAGAAAACGCTGTACTTATTCAAACATCAGTTCTTTATTACCGTTGCATTGTGAAGAAGTAGACGTCTGTCTTCAATGGCTCTTCATTCTGAATGGAGGTGGGTGGAGTTATGAGGTTTGATTGACAGTTTGAGGATCCAACTGCATTACGAGGTTTAGTCACAAGCTCTTTCAAATGCTTTTCATTGGTTAAATATTTGTAAATCTCACAAACAGACGTAACGATGACCAATAGCACTGATTTAAAATAATAATAACGAAATGTAATAGAGATAAGGAAGATTTTGATCATTTTCCACGGCACACAGTGGTTGGGAAACACTGCTCTAAATGAACCGCTGGAGTCGTTAATCAGGTTCGGTCATTATCAAGCGCTTCATAGTGTTTAACTCGACTTGATTTGATTTCAGGAGCCAGAGAGCCGTCGTTACACAGAGAAACGGATCTCAGCGCGACGTGACGGACGAGGTCAGTAGCGCTCAGCACATTAACCCTCATAATCTATATACAGTTTTCACATTCTGGGTCCGACTGGACCTGAAGAATCGTTATTTTATAAAACAGCCATAACTTAATTTATTAATATTTTTCAAAATATTAGATGGATGGATGGATGG